CCCCAAAACCCCAAAACCCCAAAACCCCAAAACCCCAAATTAGGAAATTAAGATTGAATTTTTAAGGTACTCTGTAAATCCTATTCAATTCCATAGATCTTGCCGATCAAATTTAAATGGGAAGGCAGCAGTCTGACATGCGCTTTATCTGAAGGGAAAAGTTCTCCATCTAGATTAAAAGATCAATCATTCTTTGGATTGATTTTGACTTCGGTAACCTCAGTTCCACTAAATCTTTCAAAATCTAGGATGTTTCCTGAAGAGAATTTACTCAGAAATTTCAGAAGTTTGATTTTACCCAATTTTGCTAAACTTCCTATGTACATCTTATTGTCATCAAATCTTGCTCCTGGCATAAAGACTTCATTCTTTTTCTTAGAACTCCTAGCTTCATGAGTGACTATTCCAAAGAAGCAAAAATCTGAGAGGCTGAACGGTTCCCATACCTTTTCGCCAGAAGCATCAAGTTCCGAATCATTGGCTTCTGAATTGGTATCTTGCGGTAAAACTTCTTCAAAATATTTCTCTTCTTCTTTTGAATAATTCTTTAATGATTCTAATTTCTCCAAGGGTAAAATTGTCTTGTACTCAACCTCGCATTTGTAATTCTGTAGCTTACATGAGGATATAAAGGTAAGAGTTCCAGCAATAGCATATTTAGCAGATTTAAAAACTCCTCTCCATCTTTCTGCTCTAGTTGCTATATCTCCTGTGATTCCCCACAAGAGTGAGGTTGCATAGATTGGGGTATCAAGATTTTCAAACTTAACCTTCATAATGTCTGAAGGAATTGTATGGCCTCTGACAATATTAATGCATGCATCCCAGACTTTCCTTCCTCCAAGGTCTCAGACTATTGCATTTTGAGTTCCACAAGGGAGGAGACCAATGTGAATTTTGAAAAGTTCTTCACTTTTTGGACTCTTACCAATAGAATTGATTAACTGGCTAAAGAGCCCGTCTCCTCCTACACAGACAATATCTGTGTAAGGGAAGGGCTTATTATTAAACTGTTCAACCCAAGTTTCAACATAAGTAGAAGAGTCAGTCTCAAATATCTCGTAACTTATTTCTGCACTTAAGAGCATGGGGACAAGGATTCTCCTTACATGTTGCATACCTTGTCTTTTCCCAGAGACAGGGTTTACTAACACAGCAATGTTCCTCTCATCAGAGGCATTTACACTTGCAAGGACCCCTTCAGCTGTATAATACTCTTGGAAGTCATCGAAATAAAGAGTGACTGTTTTGAAATTTGAATAAGTGATCACCAATTTCATCTACATTAAGGTTGCCAAAAGACCTACCTCCTTTTCATTATGTATATCCTTTTCTTCTTCTACTGAACGATCATCGATGGTTTTAAGAGCCATGAATTTCTGCTTCAGATCAGGCTCTTCTTTGGTCACCTAATTTGGATTAGACTTAAATGTGAAAATAAAAAATCTAAATTTAAAATCAGTGCTATGCATATTGAGACACACAAGAATCTCTAAAATAGCTATGGGGTTAAAAGTTGTCCAAAAATATTGTTCTTAAGGTTTGAGTAAAATCATAATTCCGTTGATAAAACTTTAAATAAAATTAACTTTGGAAAAGAAGAAAATCCTTCACCACATTAAATCTCTAACCCAGGAAAGTCCTTACCGAAATTATTGAGTCGTGGTCAATGACGAGGCTACATTTAAACTCGATTGACTTTGGGCAAGAAGTTTTGACGTTCTTCCGGCTACATATCTTCTGTCCCTCACACATGGTTTCTTCTTGATAAATATTATCCCTGATGCAAAACACTTCTTTGAATTTAGGTTTGTTCCTCTGACTCATATCATAATCAGGGGTTGATGCAAATAGACTGTAAGCCCTAGCATTGCTATTTCTTACTCTTTCTGACTGTTCCCAAGCGGAATGATGGCAATTGCTCGGGGTGATATGACACAGACTCTGAGCTTCCCATACTTAACTTGTATAAAATATTACAGAGAAAGATTAGCTGGGGTTTTGGGGTTTTGGGGTTTTGGGG